CAAGCAAAACCAAACCAAACCACCTAAGTCCTACAAAAATGTAGATGATGAAAATTCTCACTATGACAACCAATATTCTAGTTTCGGTTGCTTTTATCCAAGATTTAGGCCAATAAAAGGAATACAGCTTTTCTACTTCTATTATACATGCCAGTTAGTGTGTTAGCTGCACTGGTCTGCATCACGCTCCTTTCAATCAATGGATTTGGGAGAGACTTTACACCAGTAAATTGGGTGTTCCCTTGATAATGCCAGTGCAGCCAAGAATACATTTTATTGTCTTAATCTGGGGGGAAGCAAAGGAAGTGTGGACAAAACTCCAGAAAGAAGCTACCCTGCAAACTGAGCCCTCAGCAAAGCTGACTCTTAAGAGCTGTAGTGACTGGGGGGCGTCGTCCGGGCTGTTACAAGTCCAGGGGCAAATGACCTTGGGCCACCTCAGTCCTCTTAACAGCCATTCACTGGCCTTCTTTGTCACTGGCTGAAAGCTTTGTGGCTACTGGGTAGGTCACTTGCAATGTACCAATAGGGCCTCAGTTTCCCTTCGGTAAACCAGTGGTTTCCACCAACCAAAAGCTAAAAGTGTCATCAGATAACATCTAAGACCTTAGCAAAGGTTTCCCCACTTTGTTGTAGCAGCCTGCTTCTTGGATGTCTCTACTTATGGATTTATTCATTTCCTCATTCATTTATTTAGTGTGTGTGTGTGTGTGTGTGTGTGTGTGTGCTCACAGGCGTGCACACGAGTGAGCATAGTGTGCCATCATGCGTGTGGAGGTCAGAGAACAGCTTGCGGGTTCTCATTTTCTTTATGGGCCACAGGGGTCAAACTTGGATTGTCAAGCTTGGTGGCAAGTACCTTAATTTGCTGAGCCATCAAACCACCCATGAATTGTGTCTTGACGGATGACTTTCTTTGTTTTGTTACTATAACAACTTCACGAAACTCTTCCATGTTGGGACATGGAATTTGGGATAACCCAAATCTGTGTTCTGGGCCACTGTCACTCATATTTGGCTCCAGGATAAACTATCTTTTCTCCACTTTGGGTTGGGAGCTGTGTTTCTGCGACCACAGAAAATTCTTTTTTTTTTTTTAAAGCTGTTTCCTAATGCGTAGATTGATTGTCTGTGGAAACGAAAGAACAATGTCAGCACACAGAGGATAAAGAAAGGTTACCTCCCCTCCAGAATAGCCAGAGGGTAGGAAAGAGACAATGCCACCCTCTCCCTGGCATAGCCAGAGAGAGCGCTTGACTATGCTGTACCTTCTACCTAATTTTGATTTGCCTGAGATCTGTGTGGCTCTTTTCCTGGTAAATTGCGTATGCTTTGTGTAATAATATTTTGTTTCTAAGGAACATCTTTTCAACTAACACTGGCTGTATGCCTGGTTTTTCTACCACTGTTAAATTTGTATTTCAATAAAAATGCAAATGTTCTTTTCTATAGCCTGTCTCCCTCATTTTTGGGTTTGGCCTAAATTAGATTGAATACTTTTCCAGACTCATTTGCCTTCCTGCGTCAGACCAAAAAAGCCCTTCGTTTGGCTTTCGCTTTCCTCCCCTTTGTCAGTGTGCTGGGTTCTTGCCTGGCTTATTTCACTTGCCAGTTCTCTCCTTTCCCAGCTCTGTTCTCTGGCTCGTTTCCCTGGTTGTGTGGTGTTGGGGGAAGGACACTGTTTTGCTTGTGAGCTAGCGGCTCAGGGTTTGGTTTCCCCTTTCCCAGTTTCGTTCTGAACGCTGCTGTTCCAAGCTCCTGCCGTGGCTTGAAACAAAGGGTGAATGGCACTGTAGGGTGACCTGCTTTACTTCATCCAAAGGTTCCCTAGCAAGGGTTGCCTAAGGCCATTTCTAGCTCAGACTATGAATCATCTCTCTGCTGGAAGAAACAGTACACAGTCACTACCATTCTATCTCCCAACTCCAACAAAGCATGGAAATCATTTCATTGCAATCAGGGGATAAAGGTGGTACATTGTTATTTTTTTTTTTAGATTACATTTATTTATTTATTTATTTGGTGTGTGTGTGTGTGTGTGTGTGTGTGTGTGTGTGTGTGTGTGTGTAGACAAGTACAAAGGTGTGGAGATCCGAGGACAGCCTGAAGATTCTCAGCTTTCACCATGTGACCCCCAGGACTCAAAGGTTGTCAGGCTTGGCATCAAGCAACTTTACCCACTGAGCCTTCATTCTCCTGCCTCAGACCAAAGAGCCCCCTCCTCCATCTGGCTTTCACTTTCATTCTCATTGTCAGTGTGCTGGGTTCTTGCCTGGTTTATTTCACTTGCCAATGTCTTCCTTTCACAGCTCTGTTCTCTGGCTCTCTTCTCTAGGCAGCATTTTGCCTCTTGTTTTTGTTTTTAAGAGTCAGGGTTTTTGATAGTAAAACGGCACTGGTTGGTGGCGCTGGTTACCGGTGGAAAAGTAACGGTCCATGGCCACAACTATCAGAATTA